CAAGAACGCCAGCCTACACACGGGTGGGCTGCAGACGCAGCTAGCACGGTGTGCGACAGCTACACGGTGGGTGGCAGACACTACACGGGTGGGTGGAAGACGAAAATAGCAGCTAACGGGTGGCAGACAGCTAGCATGGGGGTTGCAGACTGTAGAGTAGGGATGCACGATGGGGTAGACAAGACCAGGGTGATAGGGATCCTGATGCAGAATGCAATGCAGATGCAGATGCAATGCAGATGCAAAATTCTGCTGCAGAATGCAATGCAGACAGAAAATTCCTGATGCAGAATGCAATGCAGATGCAGATGCAATGCAGATGCAAAATTCTGCTGCAGAATGCAATGCAGACAGAAAATTCCTGATGCAGAATGCAATGCAGATGCAGATGCAATGCAGATGCAAAATTCTGCTGCAGAATGCAATGCAGACAGAAAATTCCTGATGCAGAATGCAATGCAGATGCAGATGCAATGCAGATGCAAAATTCTGCTGCAGAATGCAATGCAGACAGAAAATTCCTGATGCAGAATGCAATGCAGATGCAAAATTCCTGATGCAAAATTGCCGAGCAGTCGGTGTGGATGGTTAAACTAGAGTAATCACGCTGCAAAGCTCCAGCTCCTGCCCGCTTACCTCTTCAAGAAAGATGGTGGCCGGCACTTCCTTATCTATCTCGGACTCATGGATCAGCTCAAAGAATGCGGTGTTGACATGCATTAGGTAGTAGTTGTTCCCATCGAGGGGCCAAAGGTTGAGTCCTTGAACAGACATGAGCCTTTGTCTTAGCTTATACAGCAGGCATCGAGGAGTATGAAAACATGTCAGTCGAATAAAGTATACCTTGCTAAAATGTGTTACCACTGATCATAATCATCAAACGTTAATATAACTAAGAATTATTGCTATAAAATGTATTAAAATAGCAAATTCAGTTCTCAGACATGTTATCTGGTGTTGTGTTTCATAGAATTAATCACGTTAACATTTAGGGCAGCGTAGGATAAAGGAGTGAGTACATGTACGACAATACAGTCCAAGCGATAGAGCCCAAAGACCACGGTTTTACAAAACACACTGGAACTAAACTAGAAACACTCTTAACTAATAAACAAGAACATGTACACCATCATGTGACCACTCGTACCCAGCATCAAGACAGACTCTACGAATTTACGAGTGATAGAATCAAACAAGCGATCTTACATTACTCAGGATTCACACACCTAAGACAAAACTTATTGTTTACATCACTTTGCAAGGATCTAGACAAGCTATTTCAGAACCCCAAGATTTAAGCCAAATAGAATGTTTGTACCTCGCATCTTCCAATCAACAATAACTGAACAATTTCTTACTTCAAGCAATTTCATTGCCTCTCAGACAGTAAACAAGACTATATGATTTCTGTACCTAAAAACTAAGTAAGACGAGTCACAGTACATCAGCCAACGTCGTTGGCCTCAGCTCAGAACAATTAAGCCACTATAATCGGAATGGACATGAGAATAAATGTATCCAACTTATAATAAAATTCAATTGAAAGGGGAGCGAAACAACTTCCCTAGTTTGTTGCCGACATATATTTCCAATTGTTTCTATCACCGAGAAGAAATTTTGTTCTCGCAAGCTAAAACACTACCAGTAAAATCGCAAGTTGTCCTACGAGTTATCAGCCCGTTCTGCGAATTCCTCAACTACACACAAACATAATAACCTACAAGGGAAACAACACAGTAAAGCTGCGATCACCCGTCTGCAGATACCTATGTTGCCCTCGGACGCGCCGCACAGCGGTGAGAATATGCGAGTGCCGCTGCAGTAGGAATGTTTCACTAGCAGGTCGGCGTACAGTTCCATCGCTCCCGTCGCCACGGCCGTCAACACTCCGCACAGCGGCCAGAGGCGAGTGCAGATCCCTTTGAATCCACGAGCAAATTGTACTTCGAGCTCACGGGCACGCTCGGGATCTGCCCTCAGCTTCTGCAAAGGATAGGGAACCATAGACAATAGATAGATCAGGGAACATGTCTGTTGCAGACTGCTATGCGTCTACATAGAACTCTCTGATACAGAACAGAGGTGATGACATCTCTACTACAGCTATACTCGCCTTTATATTTGTAGCAATGAAAAGGAGACATATCTACCATACCTTTGTGTCTGTCTGTATCACCAGTAAGGAACAGTGGAGAGAGTCTACTACTGTACTATCTATAAAATCTCTGTCTGCTTTACTATAGCTAATGTCTAGTAGAAGTACGTCTGCACTTATCTCCTGTAAGGGACAGAATATGAAGTATGTACATTAAAGATCTGTATATCTGTCTGTAGTGCGAGTAAGAGGAACGAGGTGGTATCATCTCTACTACAGCTGTCTACCTACATCTTTTTTGTGGACCAGGGTAGAGAACATGTCTACCATAGCTTTGTATATGTCTGCATTATCTACAGAAAAAAAACAGAGCAAGAAAGACTTTGACTATCGCTGTTCGCTTTTACCTTGCTTGTGGGTATGTGTACTACAACTATATATTTGTCTATACTGCCATAAGGAACTGATCAGGGTGTCTATGTCAGATTATAGTTATGTTGCATGCTGTGCATCTTCTGCAAGCAAAAGACTTGAACATTCCAGTGATCATTTCATAAACAATACTGCTGCCCATGGCATAGCCTGTGCAATAGCTAGTTAATAATCCAGCAGTTTAGTTATGCGACACAACACAGACATACAACACACACGACGATGATGCTCCAGGCATGCAAGTGTCCGAACATCACGACTTGCCGCTGAAAACCATATCCACATGCACCTTCAATCCAAGCTCCGCGTTACCTGTGTTAGCATACAGTCACTGTGAGTGCGGTTAAAAAGATGCGACAATGCCAGTGTTTTACGACTCGCAACAAACAGTGTTAAAACAGCTCCAGCAAGTAGTTAATAAAAATCACATGAAAAACGGACAGATTATAAACACAGGCCCAAGGAACTCATGCGGACAAGGCCGGCCACAACAAACCTATAATGAAGGCCTCTGTCGAACCGTACAGGTCATCCCAGTAGATTTGCGACACCACTGCAGGTCTTTGCAGCCAGCAGCTGTTTATACATGGCATGAGGGCCAGATACCGTCGCCTTCACACAGCTCAAGTTCGGCCACAGACGCAAACATATACCGTCAACGCCTCGCAAGAATTCTGCTCGCAGCTGGCGCCCCCTGTCCTCGTCCGCTCGAATCAGCTGCGTCGTAGAGGAACAAGTTACTAAGACGAGGTACGATGTACGCAACTATACAATACTATAATATCACAGTATCACCGCCGTACACTCGGTACTGGTTTAGCGTACTGGGTCTGCATGGATAAGGTATGATTAATGCAGTCATAAATAATTCAGGTGGGAAATTTGGTTTCGGTAATCAAGTGCTAGCGCACATTTGGCTTTCTCACTGCTAACTATACATAGTCAGTTGTTTTGTGTGTATACTGTTGCTTTGTGTGATTATAGTTGTGTCTTCTGATCAGCTAGCAAATTGCCTTTGATATCAAAGATAATCAAGAGACAATGAATTACTGATCTATAGTGATGTCACGATCATCCATTATACTCGATCATCGGTTGAACAGTGGCTCGAACCAAGCGCTTGTTATCAAAATCATAATCGAATTTCTATCAAAAAATAAAAAAAAATCGAAATAAATGTCAGAAATTGAAGCAGAGAAAATTGGAAAACATGATGAGATCAGAGATATTCATCGCTATTATTAAGTTCGGGAATCACTCGACATTCGGCAAACGGTTATTCCTGTTGAGGGGCTTAGAAGCCTAGAACCTAGGGATTTTTATACGCTGGCTAAACAGCACGATACATGGCACAACGTACATGACACGTTACGCACGACGGGCTATCAGACAAAGAGAAGAGCAGAGTAACCGTTGGGATTGATAACCAGAGTGGATGCGAGGTTACATTGGGTAACCGATGATCGATTAACGAAGCGAGATTAACAGAAAGCAGGGAGAGAACGAGGCTGTGAAAGCAGATATATGATTCTCCTTTACCAGTGTGGATTAAATACATGGGAGGAGTGTAATAGAATTAATTTTGTATTTAATGTTAATCATTCTGTTTGTACAGATAAACGACACATCATGGGTTACTTGCAGGCTTCTTTGATCTTTTATATTCATAATATGAGAAGAAGTGGGTAGATTATTAGAATATGTAATGAAGAGATTAAAATAATAGAGAGGTAGAGTGGAGTGGAGGAATGGTGATGGAGACGAGAACAAGTGGTTTTAACGTCAAGTCACATGCCTTGGGAAATATTTAGATTTGGGGTTGATTTCGTCGAGCCAATCAATGTCCTCGACAGCGATTGCCAATTGTTCTGCAAGGTAAACGAATGCTATAGTAGATCGCGAGGAGAATGTTAGAATTGATGGCAGGCATGTAAAGCAAGATATTCCAAAACAACTAATCATCACAGAGCGACGGACAAAGAACCAAGAACGTAAAGTAGAATAAATTAAAGAGTTAAGTGATTATAAAAGCGCAACCACTGATGCTGTGTCACTTGTTCGAGGGCAGCTTCAGTAGAGCCACTAAGGTGGACAAGTGGACAGGCAGGTGCGATGTTTTCTGCTAAGTAGGTATCGATAGTGTATGCTGTGTCAGCTAGAAATGGCTGAGGGCATGTAAACTAGGACAGAATGATTGAAGATGGTAAATGTTCAGTGTTGTCATGTTGTAAAGTAGGAAGTAACGATGGCCCGGAGGGGCCGCGCAGAGAGAACGCACCGGGGACTCGAGGCGGGCTCGATGGGGGGTAGAGTGGTAAGTGGCGTGAGGTCTGTGTGGCAGTGGGTGATTGCATAGTAAAGCTGGTTCGTGACGGACAAGGTGATGTTCAATAACCGGGGAAAGTAATCTCACAGGCTGGTATCGAGAGGTGGTCGTGGAAGGGGGGGGGAGAAAGATGATGTTCGTGGGGGTGTTATGGGAAATTGCAAGCGGAGGGATGGTGGACGTTTAAGGTGTTTAGATTAAAGATGGAGGTGGATCCGTAAGTAGTAGAGGCGGGGGGGCGTGGGAGCCAGATAAGCTGTGAAGACAGAATAGTGAAGCCGGCGGCTCGATGCATTTACTAGGCAGGCCTACGCTGCAATAGAGAGCCTGGCCATGTAGACGAAATTACGCAGCAAAAAATAGACGAGTCGATCAACACATTCACTGGCAGTAGGGCCACAAGAGTGGCATATCGGATACATGTAATACTGACAGTACAGGAATGCCATAGATAATTATACGATTTAAAGGCATAACCTTTTTACCCAAAATTAGACTTTGAAATTACTGGGTGGATTGTAAGCCTCATACATGAGGCATGTAACAGATTCTACTAAGCAACCCGGCAGTCAAAATTCTTCTAATAGAGCAGTCAGACAAATCCATGTTTACGTCCTCTTGAGGGTCAAAAGGATTAATCTGACACTTATACTCTGATGTAGCAGAAGTAGATTTCAGTTGAGTCCATTTCAATAATGAATAAAGAATGCTAGTCACCGCTGAAACAAAAAAGTTTTTCAATCGCTCTGTCAGACGCATGTCCTATAAAATGTCTAAAATCTGCTGTGGCCCATTGAATTTGATCATGTGACTTCAATTTCAGAATGATGGCTTTTCTACATGATGGCTATAACACGAAATATCAAAGCTAAGGTCTGAGGCCGTTTAATTGTGGGCCGCAATTCTGCATTTCCTCATATACCTTAAGTTAAGGATGAATGTCCAGCTTCTTACACGTTTGAATCTTTGACCTTTGACCCCAGATCTTCGGCATCCAATCGTTTTAGGATTACCACCCACGGTCACGATATCGTGACAGTACGTCGAGTGTATTTCGATTTGCCAACGCGCGGACGGGACAGGGAAGGAACTATAGGGCGATTCTACAAGCTGCATCTGACTATGTCAGATGAGCTAAAAATACATTTAAATTGTATTGCACAAATTAAATTGCACATCACTACTGTCTTCATTACATGTATTTGTATTTGAATTACATGCAATAAAGATTTAATATAATAATATAATAAAATACAAAAATACTAGTACACTAAAGAAATATCCTGACATATGAGCATAGTAATTAGGGCTGTAACGATCCACCGAAATCGAATCGGAACAAGATTCTCTTCCCTCGATCCGATCCTCGATATTTTTCCCCGTATTTTCGATTCCACTTCGATACCACTTTTTTCCTCCGATAGATAGATGCTATATACTGTGGAGTGTTAAGCTAGGAGCACACTTCACCATTTTCGTTGCTCGTACAGGCAATTTTCGTGGTCGGCAATTTTTGTGGCCGTTGCCGCGTCACAGCACACTTCACCATAAGTTGCCACCACGAGCAATTTTCGTGGTGAGAAATCAAACCGGTTTGATTCTCGGCAACTCGTGGTCACCACTAAATTTCCGTGGCGAGTGGTCGTTGCCGGCCCCCGCACACTTGGCCATTTTTGTGGCGACCACGAAAATTGCCTGTACGAGCAACGAAAATGGTGAAGTGTGCTGCCCGCTTTACCAGAGCATATAAATCACTGATTTATATGCTCTGGTGTTACTCACCAATGTTACTCAGCGACTGTGCAGTGTATATATACTCTCTAGACTCTCTAGTCTATTCTCCATTTAGTATTCATTGGCAATTTCTAATAATTTATTATTGCAAAATAATGAAAATATAAAAAACAAGATAACATTTCAATATTTTGGGAATCGAATCGAGAGGCTAATATCGAGAACCGGATCGAATCGAGAGGCTTGTGTATCATTACAGCCCTAATAGTAATATCAGTGTTATAGCCATTTTGCTCAGTGCTTATTGTCTCACACTAACTAACCAGCGAGTTGTTCTGTTCGTCAACTATCAACGACTATACTTGCACCTACACAGATGTTTGTCTTTCAGTGCGAAGAGCAAATGTAGGTAGTTTGCCTCATTCTCTGTTAGCACCTCCAAGATGGCTGACGGTGAGCTGTATCCTGCCATCAGCAAATCTACCCCAATAAAATTAGTCACATTTTTATATCAATATAAAACTGTCACACCAATATAAGAAACTATAAAACCAATGTTGTAGATGGAATTTCTATACAGCACTTGAGATATTGATGGAATTGTACCATAAACTATTTGACTGACTTACAAAGTAAATGTGCATATCATTGCAAGAAAATCTAATATTATGCATATATACATAGAATGCATTTGAAACAAAAATATTAAAGAATGCAAACACGTAAAGTTATTACTTCACAATAAATTGTAGTCACACAGTGTTAATATTAGACCAAACTTTACTAGCCATTTTGCCTGGATCACTTTCAAATACTTGGACAAAAGAACACCCTCTTAGAAATAACTTCATAAAAACAGTGATTGTTCTACAGTGAAGTGAGAATGGCTTCCACTTAGTGACTATAATTGCAATTGACATGAAAGCATTTTCGCACCCATTCCCTTCATTCGCTTGTCAAGGGAAGAAATTGGTCCAATGGGAATGCCTGCTTCTGTGTGTCGCCACCTGGGTGTGTACATTAGAAACAACTCTCGTGTCAGCTCGGAGTTCTTCTTCATACTTTGGTTAACATACGACATTGGAGCAAACATCTGTCATAATAAACGAAATCAAATACAAACGTTGACACACTAAAAACCAACAACACATTCAGACACTTCAATCTTCTGGATGTGCCAAGCGCTCCTATCAATTTACCAACATATAATATTAGAAAAGTAATACTCATCTTTCTGATAGATTATCTAAACTCGAGTCATATCAGGAGGCGATAGTCAAATTCTCTGCGTTATAACAATACACAATTTACTACACCTAACATAAGCAAAAGCAAAGGTCAAGATGCCAAGGTGTGTTATATGGTTAAATGAAATTCAAGTGGTTGAAGATATGTTGAATGCAATAAACTTCAGTGTTCGATCTATGAGAATAAGGGGGGGATATTTGTACAGGCCATCCCCCCCTCCTTCAAGAGCGGGGGGGATGCATCCCCCCATCCCCCCGGGATTTACGCCCATGGATCTATGAGAATGAGATATAATGCTGGAGAATATCATATATCTGCTAGCTATAACAAATGGATGGGAAAACATACTTTCAGAGCAAACTGTGTGAAGGCTTCATCGCAGACTGGAATCATCTTGCACACACCAGATGTTCCTGAACTGACGGCCATCCTTTTAGGTCGTTTTGGAAGTAGCACATTTTCTTCGCCCTTTGCTACTCTGTCGACATAGTCCTAGATAATATCAGAAAAGAGATTACAATGGTCTTAATTTATAAGAATAATCATGACTGATGTGATGAAGCTAAGCATAATGATAATGATTATCATGGTGATGCTGATTATGATGTTATAATGACAACAACAACAACAACAACAACAACAACAACAACAACAACAACAACAACAACAACAACAACAACAACAACAACAACAGCATCAACGACAACAACAATGATAGCGATGTGATAAGACGATGATACCAATCAAATTTAATAACTTTCTTATATATAACATTTTTATACAGTGTTTCAATATAACAGTAAGTTAACACTTCAATACATTTACTCATCCTTTGACATCTATCTATAGAAAATTAGTTTTTTCAGGAGATATAACTCCCTACTTGAACTGTGAGCTGTATGCATGATCTTTTCAAGTCCTACCTTATAATGACTGAAGTCTGTTAGTGGGTGAACTCTAACGTAGTCCTCGCGTGTTCGTATTTCACTGAAGTTATAGCGTTTTCCATACTCTGTGCCGGCCTGCTTGGCTAGCCTGTCCAGCAGAAACTTCTCCTAAGCAAACGAAAAAAACAAGCCAAACCATCACAACTAGAACTAGAAGTGTATTGGTTTGGTAGGATATCTCAGGTCAGAACTACTTCACTTTGCACGCGTACAAATGCAATTTTTCATCACATTTGTGACCTGTTTTTGCAACCAATGTTTGATAAAGAGCAACAATTACTGATTTAGCAGATACTACATGTTGCTATATTAGGTCTGCTGAAATCCACCTGAACAATGGTACCAGTTATCCGACCACAACATGACAAGATCGCTGGATCACGCCATATAGCTTACTGTATACGCTGTATATTTCGCGGTGGCTTAATTTTCGCGAATTTCGTGAACGAGTCCCCGACCGCGAAAATAACAACACGTGAATAATTCATACCAAATAATTCATAATTCCCCGCCCGCGAAATTAACCACTCGCGAAATTGTCCGTCAAGTCTGAATTCGCGAAAATCTCTGTACGCAAAAAATATGGCATGTAGCTTACTTGGGCCTGCTTGACGTTGGAGGTGGCCAACATGAGCTGACGGTAGTTCCACCAGCCAATCAGTAAGAAGAACTTCTTCTGCAGGTAGTGACAGACAGCAGAAACGTTGGAGTGCAAGCTAGAAACGGGCCAGTGGCGGCTGTAATCCAGCGCAAGGACTGCCAACACCAGTGTCACGCATCCAAGCATTCCTGCGGGTAATGAAAGAGATACATAAAGGCTATAGACTGCAGAAAATAATTACAAATGCCACTTGAGGAAGATGCTAACAAATATATGGGGTTTAAATTTATTTTAGTCATTTCAAGAAGTTGATACCTAGATGCAACAATGACTACATGTATATGTTATAATGAATTATTTTCAATATATTCAATATATTCAATATATCAATATATTTTAATAAGTATGTGGAAGATGCAACTAATGACCTATATAACAACAATTATAATTTACCTGCTAGTAATCTCCGTTGCAATGACAACTGATCCGTACATGCTAAACTCTTCAGCATGTAATAGGACACCACACCAGATATAGCTGAAACAGCTAAGCAAGGTCTGATCCTCAGCGTCATGATCACCAGTTCACTCCACCAAGTCACTCAGCTAAAATGGCAATTCCTATATATGTCACCTAGCTGAAATGTAAATGCAAAAGCTACTATAGTTATGGGCAATATATAACTTGGTATAAAGGTGAGGCATTCATATCACCTTCTTATCTCCTCCTATGCGCACACACACGTGTGTACACACACATACACACACATACACACACACCTGGCTTGCCTTATATATGGAGTATGAATATATTAGTTATCTGATAGCTTTGTTGGTTTATGATAGCTATTCCCATACCTCGCTATAGTATATAGTACATACAATAATTGATGTAAAGTATAATAATTGGTTATATTAATAATATTTGTAATAAAATTTTCATCTGGGTAATTACCTTATAATTTCCTTTGTAAAAATTAACCTGTTTGTGAATTTTGAGTGTGATAATATCAAGAGTCCATAATAGAACATCTTCTATCATGGACTGTTGATAATATATGCAATGCTAAAACCTCCTTTTAGTGGAATTAAAGTAATGGTTTCAAAAGTCTTCCTGGCCATTCTCGTATTTTTCTGACCGCTATAATTATACTTACTCACTGGTATTGCTTGCATAATAGCAAGTGTCTAAACTCTAAAGTAAGGGTAAAAACATTACCACACCAGCATAAACTCATGGTAAAAAAAATTAAAAAACCAGCTTAATCACATTTAATAGTGCTAACTAGTAAATGATACCTTGACTTTTTAACCAGGGTTCTCATTGGGCATTTCAGAAGGCATGTCATTTATGGACAGATGGAGGCGGACCCAGGAAGGGGCTATACTAATTG